TTTTTTAAGTTGTCTACTTACATGATATATATATATATATATGTATCTATCTATCTATCTATATATATATATAGAGAGAGAGAGAGACTATTGTATGTATACATACATATATATGACTAGTGAATATTAAATATCAGATACCGTAATTATTTGCTAAGATGTAGGAACTGATATCGAACAAGAACATGAAAGTAGTCAAGTGACAAAAACACCAGTTTAACAATACGAATGTCAAAATACTACATATCACCTGCACTGATCTACACATTCATCACAATCCTTATCAATATAGTACCAGCTTCTTTGCACAAACTGACAAACTTAGTATAAAATTCATGTGAAAATCCAAGAGTCCCAGAAGAACCAAAACAGCCCTCAAAAAGAGCAAAGCTGGACATTTTCAAATCCAAAACTCACTAAAAGCTACAGTAATCAACATATGACAGTGTGGGAACTGTCCTATGACAGACATACAGATAAATGGGATAATATTGAAGGTTCAGAAATAAATGCTTCTATTTATGGACAACTGATATTCAACAAAATGCCAAAATCACTCAATGGGAAAAGAAAGTCTCAAACAGGCAATGAAAAATTACCCTGTGACCCAGCAATTCTACTCTTAGCTACATGCCCCAAAGAAGTATAAACATACCCATGTGACAGAGACAAACATTCACTATAGTATTTTGCAGATCAGCCAAAAAAAAAAAAAAAATGGAAACAATTCAGATGACCACAAGCTGATGACTAATCGGCAAAATGTGTCGAAGTCATGCAACAGAGTAAGAGCCGGCAACAAGTAGGGAACATGCCACAGCCACAGCCTGGGTGACCTGGACACATTATGCTAGAGGCTAGAAACTGGTCAAAAATAGCACAGTGCATGACTCCACCTATGTAAATGGGAACAGTGCTTGCCTGAGGTTAAAGAAGAGGGCAGAGGGGAAAGTGAGTGGGAAAGGAGGTGGCCACTAAAGCATGCGGATTTTCTTTTGCAGGTGGTGAAAATGCTCGAATTGATTTTGATGGTGGTTACCTAACTTTTCATATACTAAAACTCATCAACTTGTACAATCTCAATGAATAAATTATATGGTATAGGAATTATATTTTAGCAGAGCTATTTCCCAAAAAAACCAATAACACTATACATTAATAAATAAATAGAGCTTGATTCCCAGATAAAGGGGGCTTTTAGATGAGAGCATATAGTTAAATAATTGTCTTTGGCAACTCAATGAAAACAAGTGGTACAAAAGAAATAGAGGCACACAAGTTATTTATATAGCTGAGTAATATAAGTGAGTAACAGAACTAGAATACAATATTAGTGCAAAGCTTCGTGCAACAGAAAGCCCTTCCATATTCTGCAGCCAACAAATGACAAACCAGAATGAGTCACTTGTTCCTTTCCCTGAGCTGAAACAGAGAGAACATAGAAGACACAGAACACTCACTGACTGTTAGGCTATACTCAGCAATTCGTACAAAGCCACAGAGAACACTTGGGAATGTAGAAAGTAGTTAGGCCCTCGTGTGGAGTAGCCGCTAGTCGCAGAAGTTCTGATTCCAGATTGTCCGAAGGGTTCGAGGCCCTCCCCTGCCTGCTGCAGAGCAGGAAGGCCGCAGAAGCAGCCCAGTGCCAGACCAGGTTCCCAGCTAACAGTAGAGTGAGTGGCTCTAGAGCTCTGAGATCACACAGGCCTGTGTGCAGGAAGTTGGACAGCGCCTAAGCATTCCCTCCCGGCTTCAACCACTGGGCTGGCAGTTTCATCCTGTGACAAGTATAATGGCTGAGAAGGAGGGACTGCAAAGCTCTCTACAGTAAAAGGGGCTCCTGTGGCAGGTGAGCAGCAGTGATGGAGCTCACACTGTACACACAGGCAGCTTCCTAACCTCCAACCACTAAGTGACCTAGGAGTACACAATCCAGACGCAAGGTCATAGCCTTCTTCCTAAGTGGATGTAAGTAACTAAAATAAAATATGTACAGAGTATATACATAGTATGCCATTAAAGAAAGGAGTAGAAAAAGGAAAGCAACCAAAGAAGTCAAATAGAGTGGAGTATTACTAAATGGCTTCAGAACAATAAAGGAAGGTATTAAAAATACGCAGCCTCACAGCAGTTCTGAAGGAAAACAAGGACGAGCATTTACCACAAGCCATGTAGCTGCAGTCAACAAGGGGGTTTACAAGCAAAGGGGACAAGCTCTTACAGTAAAACCAGAATGCCAAGTTGAGCAGTATTCTCAGAGGCAACAGGAAAAGATTTAAAAAGTGGAAATAATGAGGGAAAGTAAGAAACGTGGATGATTCAGAAAAGCTCTAGAAATCTGACTGTAGAGTGAGGCTACATAGCTGGGGTGCAGGGTGGAGGGCAGCCAGTTGAGGGAACCCCGTGATGATAGGTGTCTGGGGTGGGAACATACACCTGAAAAGTTGCAATCCTCTATCTGTGTCATACACGATGTTGTAATCCAACATTACCACAATTGAAAAAAGAAAGAATTTAAACACAAAAGAAATGTGGATGACAAAAGGAGAATGAAGGATACCGAACAGGAGAAAGAACAAAGTTAGACAAAGAAAGAAAGATGAGCCAACGATCAGCCAGACTGATGCCAAATTACAAGCCTGCACAGAGTCAAACTGACATCAGACTCGAGACAATGGCATATCTTTAAAGTTTTGAGAAAGAGAACTTTGAAGCTGAAATTTTTATCTAGTAAAAGCATTGCTTACATGTGAGGAAAAAGTAAATATATCAGTAGGCATTTAAGGTCTCTGAGAGCATGCCGTGCAAACTGCTTTTCTCTTGGAGGATTTCCTCTAGTGACATGAAAGGCAGGAGCAAGCAGCTAGATGTAGAAGGTAAGGGAGAGGACAGAGAGCTCACCATTATTTAAATATGCCATAATAAAGAAAAAAGTTTATCCATAACATCTGAATCAAAACTTTTAGACATTATTAACCTATGGTGGGTGAACAGTGGGAGCAGTGCATGCTTAAATGCCAATTTTGTTTGAGGTGGGCAGAGCAGGAATGTGCATTCACAAGCTTTAGACATTGATAGAGAACAATGACCATCACCAGAAATCTTGATAATAAGGGGTAAAGATTAGAAACATAGAATGTATAATATTCAGTTTAGTGGGTGAAAACAAATTTTTCCAAAATAAATATGGGAAAAGAACCAGGAAGAAGCAAGGTGGTAACATAACACCACCACCATCTATAATGTGGAGCCACTAAGAAAAGCCTTAGTAGAATGGTAATTATTGTCAAAATAAGTGAATTAAGTATACCAATCAAAAGTCAGGCTCACAAATTAAAGAGCTGACAGTTTTTCTGATGCGGGGCAGGGCAGGTGTAAAACAAAAAGATACAGAGATGTTGGAAATCAAGGAATTATAGAACTAATTAATAATGAGTATGAATTAAAAGAAAGTGTGTGCGGGTAGAAAATTTTAAACACAATAGAATAAAATTTAAGGTTCAGAATATCACGAAGACAAAGGAAATAAAATTGGGAAGGAAAACAAGATAGGAGGATGACATAGCTAACAAGACATTCATAAATGCTAGTGACAGCAACGGACAAACTCCTGGCAACGCATCATTAATTAATTACATTTATTCCTTAAGTTTGTTAATTACATTTGTTCCTTAAGTTTGTAAGTTTCCAGCTCCTTGACTATTCCTGTTCTTCTATGACTAAAGGATATAGTAGTTGCATTTATTATTCTTTTATTAGGATATATGAAAAAGTTTTAAACAGGTAGGGAGAATTTAGAAGTAGTTTAGGTAGTTGAAGTTTTCTATTTGATAAAGATTTTATATGAAAGTTATTTCAAACAAAGGATCCAAAGGAAATGAGAACACTCACTAAAATTTTGATTTAATTATTCTGTCCCTCTTCATTTCTCTCCACATGGTGCAAAACATACATACAGATTTCCTAAGATGCTAAGCTTCCATGGCAACCTGTGACTGAGACTAGTAAACAAAGTAAAAAAAAATCATAGGGAACTATTCTCTAACAACTGACTCTGTACAGCATTCATGAGGTCTGATACTTTTTTCTTCCCCAGGATAACTAAAAATGCTGCATAGAGAATCAATTATATCTGTACCTAGGTTTCTGGTGGCGTCTATTATACACTCTTTGCTTTCCTTGAAGAAAAGCAAAATCTCAAAATAGCAACATGAAATTAATCACATAAGGGCATTTTTAAAAAGGAAATAAAACACCTCCATTCAACATTTTAAAAAAATCTTCCAACATCTTGCATACAAAATAAAAATAAAAAAACAATACATATACAATTAAATTACTATGTCTCAAAATACTTTGATGAGTCATTAATCACACTGTGTGAAATTTTCCTCTTTGGGGGCTTTTATTTTCAGAAACCATTTCATGCATTATATCAGGAGTCTGTTGCACATTTACTTGCACATAATGATTTCTGTTTCGCCATACTCTATTTCTGCACTTGCAATAAAAGAATAGACTAACACCATCATTAACCACATACAAAAATCTCACTGTATACTATACTTCTCAACATTCAGAAATTAAACTACGTAATTAAAATGCAACTCATCTCCATTCACCTTTAATAGTCAAATTTGTTAATAAAGATAGATGTGACTCTTTAACTAAGGGGCAAAGGGCACTCCAGGGACTAAATATAGATGCTTTGTTTCCTCCATAATACCTCTGTCTTAAATCCCTCCCGCTCCTATCTGTCAAGGAAGGGCTGGCAGGTGAGCAGTCTGTCACTTCTGCCTAGGCTAATAGATTCTCCAGCGGCTTTTGTTACAGCTCATGTCATACTATTAAAACTATGTGCCTTGAAAATGGCATAACATATGTAGCTGAATCTTGTCAAGTCTCGATAATCAGACTCTGTTTGGCTTCACAAGCAGATGCAGATTAGAGAAGCACTATAAATATGCAAATCGCAGTGGACCCTTTCAGCTCGCTCCTACCTCTAATGGCCTTCGCAGAAAGTCTGTTTGTTCAGTTCCCACTTCCAGTGCTACATCAACAGAAGCAAAGGGACGGCTGGCCATCTGCTGTCGTTCTCGGAGCAGTTGCTGCAGGGGGTTAAAAAATGATTTGTATTAAAATAGGTTTAAAAAACATAAAACTCAATAATATCTGGTTCAATTATATAACAAACGGCACTCAAAATTTAAGACTCATCAAATACACATATCTGTATCTAGATCACTAAAATGGAGAGTGTTGTTTTTTCTCCCATGGTCCAGATTATCTGTCCACAAAGGCATTAAATGTATGGTGCCTACAAAGGAATTTTCCCATCCTCCATCCTATCAGCTTAGTGAAACGTAATCTAGTAACACTTTGAAAACGTTAGGTAAGAAGGTGCAACTTACGTAAAAGGTGATATTACACCAGTATGCCAAGCACCACTACTACTCAAAATAACTCATGCATTGTCTTAGCTGAAAGCAAGTAACAGTAAAAATATTTAAGAGAAGACACTGCAAACACACATTGACAGAAATTAAAGGAACATACGCCTGTCAAGAATGCTTGCCAATTGCTATGGAATCTACTGGAATTGATATTGGCAGTGTGTGTAACTTTATTCAAACTCTCTGTGCTCATTATTTGAAATGAGGGATGATCATAAGTTTTGTACCAACGTTTTCTTATTTTGTTCTCCCTGTGCTTATTCTGGGCTTTGCCCAAGCTAAAACCAATAAAGTAGCAAGTCCCAACCAACTACCAAGCTAATTTATATTTCTGCCTTTCCTTGTAATTATAATATTCATTAAGTCATGATAAGAAAAAAATTGATGACCAGCAGTAGATATTGCAAATCCTGCCCTTCTCATTCTATATAGCTAATAAAATTATTATTAAATATTAAAAGAGGTTGAGCAATGCAATTAAATACTCTTTCAAATGAGAAGAAAATCATACCATTGAAGAAAGGCAAAACCCTTGAATAGAATGAATGGCTTCATTATTCACAGAGATTTATAAGATTCACAGGCACTAACTTAAAACATTAACTACTGGTCTTTGCACGTAAATGTCTGTAGCACGTAAAGCAACATTCACAGAATTCCCCTTCAGATGATAAAGGCACACAAACCAACATCTGAAGGCAGTTTATTTAACATTTTTGTTTTAACCTTTGTATCACATTAGTAACTGTTCATGAAATGAGCATCTAAATTATAATTTAAGGCCTGTTTTGTTACTATTTTAAGGAAACACCCAGGTGCCAAAATAAAATAAAAATAAAGCAAGTATTATAAAGTTTAAGCTCTTGAGTTTTATATATATGTATATAGGTATATACATATATATATATATATATTTAGAAGTATGCTAAAAAGCATAGATAATGTCAAATATAAATAAATTCTAAAGTACCAAATTAATCACTTTCAGATAAACTCACAATTACATTATTAAACATCCAGCTGCTGGCATGTAAAGTCTTGTTTGTGCCATTCTCTGTACAAGTGACCATTGATTTGAATATTGTCTCTACACAAACTGCAAACTTGTTATTTTAAATGCCAAGCAATACTAAGTGTAAAAGGCACCAAGCTCCTTTTCTCTGGTAAACAGCTACACACAGAAAGACAGGCAGGCAGACACACACACACACACACACACACACACACCAATTACCTTTCCTATAGTAATACTCTAATAGCCTTGGGAAAATTATAAATTTCAGTTTGACTTTACTCACACTTTCCAACAATGGTATAAAAAAGCTTCATTTATATTACTACTCAGCTTACAAGTGACATCTCATATGATTTTTTAAAAATTGAACAGTTTCTGCTTCCTCTTACCCTTCCCCTATAACTAAAAGTGAAAGAATTACATGCTGTAATTAGTGCATAATCAATACCACAAATTGTAATATAAATATATGAATATTTCAAGTTTATTAAAAAGAATAGAGTTGTCTGGAGCATATTATTGTGATATTCAACAGGTAAGGTCAAGAAAAATCAGTGACTCTCTGATTCCTTTGCTTCTTTATGCTACTGAAGTACTCTTTGCAAAGAAGCAAAATATTATTTCCCAGGACCAGTCTACAAAAAAAGAATCAGTAAAATAAAAATAACTGGGAAATGATGTCATTTTAGGGGTTGTTGGGTTTGTAGAGTGGGATACCTGGGTTGACTCTGAAGAGGTCTCACCAGAGCTCCCGTTTCACCAGCACAGGCAAGTTTTCCAGGTGAGTTTCGCCACAGCACAGAGACATTAGTTATATCCAAAAAGGGCAGGTTTATTATAAAAGAGAGAATAAAGGACACTCATAGACAGAGAAGAGCTGCCCCAAGAAGGACAGGTTTGCTAACAGGCCAGCATGGTTGCAGGCGGATGACCTTGGGAGAGCAGCCTCTGCTGAGGGAGGTCATTGTAGAGAAGCCCCACAAGGCCAGGTCACTGGCAGGCAGAAGGCCGCTGGCCTGCAGAGAGTCACAGTTGGCGAAAAGGACACCTGCTTCGGCGCAGGTGGGCAGAGGACTGCTGCCCAGGGCCGGGGCAGAGATGGTGCAGACAGAGTCTTCTCCTTGGGAGGGGTTCACTTCCTCCTAGAGTGGCTTGTTTGTTACTGACTTTGAACAAACAGAAGAATTTGAAAGGGGCCAGATTTCTATGATGGCCCACAAACTCCTTATCTTCATTTTTCATGCCTATGCTCCTGAGACTCCCTACAGCATCTGATACCAGCCTGGGTCTTGTGCTTTGTGCTTTACCCATGGAACCTAACAACCTTAGTCCTGTAGCTGTGTTAATGGCTGTGTTCATCTCTTCTACCCCAACTCCAGCTCTGGACATTGTGTGCGTCAGGTTTCTGGAGCAGTGGCACCTCCTTTCCAGTTTCTCTATCCTTAGCCTCCATCAGGGACAAAGTAGTGTACAGTAAAGGATACAAATAGGGAATTAGTCAAATGAATTTACTCTGGGTCACTTAGCAGAGGACTAGTTCATGGCCTCTGGCTGACACACTGAGTTTCTGACTTTGGGAAATCAATGCAAATGTTTTTACTGTGAAACTTAGGAAGGGTAATTCACTTCCTCCTAAAACACACTTGCTATGATGTGAAGGCGCTAAAATAATAAAATGGAATAAAGTGAGATTCCTGTGCTTCTCAATTATGGCTCTCAGCCATATCCGTAACCATCGTTGTCTCTCTTGCCAGTTAATAACTGAAAGCATTAGTGCCTGAATATTACTACCACTTAATCAGAACAATTGGAGATATAAATAGCATGCTTACAACTAAAATTATATCAAATTTTAGTGCAAAAACTGGCATCAATATCGCTACCCTATGGAGTTGGAAGGGCCTATGTTTGAATACCAGTTTTCCACTTCTTAGTTGTGTGAGCTCACCCAATTTTGACTTCCCTAAACTTAATCTTTCTCATCTGTAAAGTAGAGGTATTAACAGGGTTTGCACCGACATCCTGCACCAAGTCCTGCACCTCGGAGGACTTTTCTCAAACCATCTTCTATACTCATTACCTACTAGACTATAATCAAATGATGTAGAACTTACTAAGGTTTATTCCTTCTAAAAATGGGACTAGATAATATCATAAGAAATAAAGAGAAGGCATGTGGACCACTCAGTACAGAAACTGACATTTGTAGGTGCTCAATAACTGTTCAATGGAACAATTATTATGCTACATTTCAAGCACTAATTTTGCTTTGAAGATAGCACACTAATTATCACACGTCCGTTTTCTTCAGCACTAGTGACACATTTTGCTCTACTAATCTCCTTTTTAACAAATGTTGCAAATGTATGAGACAGTTGGAAAATGTCATGATTGTGGTAAAAATGAGATTAGATTTGGAACTGCTTTCTGCCATTTGTGACTAAGAATGAGAAAAACGCAATCAAAAGTTAGGGGAAAATAGAGTATTTTCTTAAGAACTTTCAAAAATAATTTATTTTGTGATTGTGACTTTTAGATAAAATGAATTTTAACATTTTACACATCTATAAGAAGTCAAATAACAGATGATGTGCTTTATAACTAATCTGTTATTGCCAATTATTCAGCAAAAGATAAAGTCAAGAGAACAAACTGATCATAGTACAATAGAATGTAATCATGATGCCAAAAACATTGTTGTGAAGAAAGGTTAAAAATTAAAGAGTGTCATTAGTATATATTTGTTGTCCATAATAACTGTTTTATTATTGAAAATCTCTTTAAAAACCATGAAATTAAAAATAATGAGAAATTTCATGCTTAAATAGAACAACTAAGAATGCCATGATAATTCATCATTCAGTACCACTACATCAAATATCGTATTAATGTGAAAGTTCAAAGAGCCACATTTCCAGCCACCCCAAAGACATACAAGTCTCTAGCAGATTTTAAGATAAAAGTACTTAAACCACACACACAGAATAATACAGCAATAAGCCTGGTCCACAATTATCTCCATACCTTCTCTTCTAAATCTGTTTCATTCATTCTCCCCATCTCCAAATGTCTTTCTACATCATCCCAAGTTTGAAGCAGTGTTGTCTTCCTTGATTTATTAATATAGCACTATCTGTTTATATTTTTATGCTTTTCTAAAAATTTCTTCAAGGCAAAAAAAAACCACTTTTATTTATTTCTTTTATTCCCCATAGCATGTAGTTGGAATAGTGTTTGAGAAAAGAACAATTAATGAATTAAAATATAAAAATCTGAATTATGCAGACGTGAGTGAAGGCAAGTTATAATAAAACTAACTATAATTATTAATATATTTTTGAATGTTGCCACAAATGTGAAATGTGTGTTTGAAATGTATGTTTTATGGCTTTGGGTCTTACAGAAATATTTTTAATCCATTTTCAGTCAATGTTTGGGAGAACTGTGATTATTCTTTCTATTTTGTTTCTTCTGATTGGTCTGACCAGGTTCTATAGTCCCGGTTCCTCTTGGAGATTTTTAGATCCTAAAAATGCCCACCTTTGATCTAGGTTATTCAATTTTGTTAATATATAGATGTGTGTAGTAATCTCTTATGATCACCTATATTCTGACATGTTTAAATTTCTCCTTTTCAGTT